TCGGCCAGACAGTGCCGGCTGGCGACCCCAAGGGGGAGGGCCTTCTCTGTGGGAGCTCCCACCCTCTGGAATGAGCTGCCCCCAGAGATCAGGGTGATCCCTGATCTCCCTTCCTTCCGCCGCGCCCTTAAGACATGGCTATTCCAACAAGCGGGACTGGCCTAGGGCAATTTTTAGAGGGGTTTTAATCATATTTTAAATTAGACAATATTTAAATATCTCTTTTTAATTAATTTTAATTCTGTGATTGTTGTTGGTGTTTTTTAATCGATTGTCAGCCGCCCTGAGTCCGCAAGGAGAAGGGCGGGATATAAATTTAAATAATAAATAAATAAAAATAAATATACATATAAAAATAGTAACTTCACCAGCCCCAGAGACAGTAAAAGGTATAATGGTTAATTTAAGTCTTCCTTTACATGATTAGATTTTTAAAGCAGGATGTTGTTCATCAAGATCATGACACTCCCTCATCTTCCTGGTAACCTGGATGCACCAAATTTAAACTGATTTTTTTTTCCACAGATGGTTACTTTTTAACTGCAATACAGGAAATCACAAGAACAAAGGGACTGCCTTACTGGTTCCAGAACAGAAAATATCATTATTCCGTGTGGCACATTGTGTGGATTTTAGTGTGCAATTGACAACACATCCCCACTGTATTCAGTTTGCTAGAGTAAGGATTTGGTCCCCTCCTAATTTTAAAATTTGAGTTTATTCTCCTTGTAGTATCCATTATCTTCTGCCAACAGAAGCTAAGGAGACGCTATGCTGGTATGATCCAGCAAGAAAACATTGAAATAAAGAATAAATTGTAGGGTCACAAGCATTATGGTGGAAAAGCACAATTATTTCACGCAATTTTTGCATGCCTAATGCAATGTGGTAAAGCCGTTTCACTGCACTACACTGATTTCAAACTCTGATCTTGAAAATGGAAACTCTGAAAAGGAACATTTATCTATAAATGGCTGAGCTACGTTTTTTTTTTTAAATTTCTGTTCTGTTCAGAACAGGAAGCTCTATAAAAAGGCATAAAGCTGATGCATATTCGAAATGTAGATGAGCTGAAACTTGACTTTACAAACCAGAAAATGCCTTCTAAAGAAAACACGTATACAAAACTCACACTTATTAAAATTAGTTCATTCAAAACTACAATGTGGCAACCAAAAATATCTATGGTTAAAGTATACCATCACTCTTTCAGTTCAGTAGGTGACACATAAATCACAGTTTGTTTGACCCAGGTTTGACTAAGTCACAAATGAATCAGTTAACATAACCCATTAAGCTATTAGCCAGAGTTCACAAATGAGTGAACACAACACAAGGAGGTTTTAAAAGAATAACCCTATATTATAACAATAAACCCATGCATGGGATAATCAGAGTTCTTGGAAAATTGACAGTATATAAATTTAATAAATAAATAAGTGTAGGGAAATAGCCCTGATACCCCAAAGGATCTGTATTTGGGAAGCAACATAAAAAGATTGATTTTTTTTTCCCCAACAACAAAAAGTCATATTCTAAAAGTTTATGATGTCCCAGTATATAGACTGCTAATGGCCTTTGTTAACTTCACTGTCAAAGAAATGTAAAGCAAAAAGCTTGGTTACAATGAATTCTTTTTATAAATTACTTTTTAAACTAGCTGGTGTTTCTGAACATAGCAAAGATTCTTAAGGCATCTGGTCTTCTGTATAAAATCTTAAAGCAAGGGACCAGTTGCTAGGGGAACAAGATATATATTTAGTGAATTAAAAAGTGTAGCCTGAAGGTCAAATAAAAAAGTTTTTTGCAAACCCAATCACCAAGGGAGATTGGTACAAGATAAGTAAAAATGAAACGTTGCATTCATTACAGAGTGCTAAGAATTTCAAGCTTCTAATTTTAGTCATTGTCTTGGTTTTCACCATAGGGTGCTTAAAAGCAGGGCTGATAACTACTTTTAAGGCATGCTAACAACTCTCCGGTTTTATTTCATGTTAGTTGCATGTATTAATCTAGAACAGTGGTTCTCAACCTGTGGGTCGGGACCCCATTTGGGGTCGATCGACCATTTCATGGGGGTCGCCAAGCAAGGCTGTCCGCCATTTTTTTTGTCCGCCATTTTTCCCCCCTTTTCCGGCGGGTGCCTTACCTCCCTTGGGCTGGGCCAGCTGGTGGTCGGCCTGCTCCGTCTTTGCCGCTTGCCAGCTACACCTCGGCCGGCGCAGGGGGCAGAACCACGCATGTGCGGCGCTCCCCGGCAGGGAAAGTCCTCGACTTACAACCGGTTGGGTAGTCCTCAACTTACGACCGGTTTAGTCCTCGACTTACGACCGGTTTAGTCCTCGACTTACGACCGGTTTAGTCCTCGACTTACGACCGGTTGGGGTCGCGGCATTAAAAAGGTTGAGAACCACTGATCTAGAAGTGTCAAACTCCTGTGTGCTGGGCCAGGGCTGGCATTATATTGTTATGTTAGAAGCATTTCAGAGACTCTTCAGGTGCATGAACACATCTTGGTTCCACAGAGGTTTTTGTAGAGAAAGTACTCGGTTTTCGGCACATTATTCTAAACCAGTTGTGGCTCCTTCAACAAACCATGTTTAAAGAAATTGTGGTATTGATACAACCGAGACTCATTTTATCAAGCAGCAAAAGAGGATGTGAGAGGGCTGAAACTTTTCTGAGGCCGGGCTGTAACAGGAAGAGCAACCCAATTCTCTAAGGGTCTGCCTTACTCGCAAAATAGCAACTCCTCCGTATTTTTTTAATCTGACCTGTTTTTGATCCCATTTAAAATCTGGAAGGAGAACAAAGCCGTTGATGGGATCTGGATTTTCATAGACAATTTGATCAGCTTCAGCCTTCTTCTCCAGGATGTTGTACACCCACTAGAAAAGATAAAACGTATTTATTTATTTATATATTACATTTATATGCTGCCCCCTCTCACTAGCCAGCGACAGATTAATTGCTTAAAATCAGATTGACTTCATCCAGTGCATAGCGTCAACCCAGGCTGTTATTTTAATTTGTTCTTTGCTCACAGAAATTTCAATTTGGGTTCTGAAATACAAAATGTCACTTGAGTTCCCTAAAGAACAACGTGGTTTCCTAACTAATGCAAGCTACAGTTCATTGACCTGAAAACAATCAAATATCGTGTGTCAGGGCTGAGGTCAATCTTCGAGGGGAAAATAGAATTATTTTCATCTTCATCCCCAACGCATTCCCAGCCAGATGATTGAAGAAATGGCTTTTCTTTTCTTTTCTTTTCTCCAATGTGAAACATACTCTGTCACTTCTGAAAGCAAAACACTCAATTTCATCAACGTTTAGACGCATAAAATGGCAGCACTTCCAAAGAACGCTGGCGCAGCCTCCCACATAAAAAGTATAATGGATCTGCCACGAAACTGACTGCGGTGAAGCAAAACTACTTTAATATAGTTTGGAAAAAAGGAGAAGGGAAAGAAATAATGTACAAAATGATATAGCTTTCGAAGTTCTTTAGGCATAGATTTTCTCTCTCTCTCTCTCTCTTTTTTTACTAATAGCTATACAGAATTCAGTATAACAAGGCCATAGAAGCCACTGGGGGAACGTTAGGCCAGGAAGCCCCAAATTAATTCCAGGGTGAATCTAGGGGCACCTTTTAAAAAGGAGAGGGCTCTCTTGAGCCTTGTAAAGTCCGCTTCAAATGGAGTGGCTTATGAGCATCGTCAAAGAAATAAATCAGAATAAAAGGAAGTTGTCTGCTGAGACTCAGCACGATTCGGGCCCCCCCAGGGGCAGCTTCTGACATCAGGAGCACTTGGAAGGAAGAGTTTAGAAATTTAGTATCCCAGTGTTGTGGCTCCGTCTTGTGAGCCCCTCTTATCGGAGGACGAAAGCTCCGAACATGAAGGAGAGGAGATGGCCAGGCCTCCCTCTCCAGGACCCTCCTCTTTGGCAATGCCTCAGGTGTCTCCCGACGGAGAAGAGATTGACCAGGAGCCAGATGGTTCTGAGACTGGCCAGGAGCCAGGTGTTTCTGAGATTGGCCAGGTGTGTTGGATAGTGAGGAAGAGAAGTTGTGGCTGGATCCACGCCAGCGTAGGGGCGACAAGCGTGTGCAGCAGAAAAAGAGACGTGCCAGAGATTAAGCTGAGTCACTGGACCACACCCCACAGGCTATAAAAGGGTGGTGGTGGCCATTTGGACCTCTGTGACGGACAAAAGCTGAATCTCTGGTGAAGTAGTTTGCTGTGGCTTTAAACTGTGTGTATTGTTTTTGTTTCTGTGTGCTTGGAGTAAAAGGTCTTGGCAGGCAGCTACAGAGCTGCTGCCAAGTTTCTTATCGGTGAAGTGGTGTCTGGAGAAGTCTTTAACTCTCAGCTGGCTGTTTGGGTGTGTGGGTCGGAACGGGGACAGAACATCCAGAAACTGTTGTACTTGAACATCTGAAACCATCATAAGGTCTTGCTCTTTAACTCCAGGGTGCACAAGATGGTTCTGCGTCTGGCTGACCACGTGGAACACACCGAGAAGTTAAATCTCATTACTGACTTACAGTTATAATAAGGAGGATGCGAGAGCTGGTGCTTGGCAGACTGAGGTGCTTTGCACCACAATGTGCCCTTTCTTAACTTGGCTGGAGGCAGTATTTTGTTTTATTTCATTTCATTTTATTTTTTTTTTATTTTCGAAAGAGGAAATCAAGGCATGTCGGGAGCACGCAAAGCAAACCGGGCTGCCAGATACGAGAAAGAAAAAGTCCAGACGTTTGCAGCTGTAAATAATTACAAACATATCACAGTGACACATTTGACAGTGCAAAAATACCAAATAGGGTTGCAGTTCTCTTCCAATTCTCACACTTCAAATGAAAATGGAATTCTACGTCTTTTTTCTTTCAAGGAATGGATTGCCTAAAAAAGAATTCTGTGCAGCTTGGGGGGGAAAAAAAACCCTCAGATGTTGATTCAACAGAAAAGGCACTTTTCTATTCTCTATTCTATTCCTCTCGTCTGCTTTATTTCCAGTTATATACAAACCATTAATCATGGTTTCAAACAAAGTCAAAACAATTCCACCGGAAACACCGTACACTTAAGCTTTTTAATGTAATAAGCCTAGAGCTTACCATTAGTTAGGCTCCAAAAATCCAAACGCCCGCCAATTTTTTTATCACTTGACTGTCGTCTGCTGGTAATCTGGATTTTTTGCATCCCAGATAAGGGACACAATTCATCATTAGGAATTGATTAAAGGAAACATAATTATTTACTCTAACCCTATAGCCTTAAAGGAGCAGATAAATCAAACCTCAGGGTATATACAGGTTTTTGAAAGCAGACTGTTTTACCCGGTAATAAATGACTGCATCCTTTTTTTTGAAGGAAAAATTCATTTCCATAGGAGAAGCTCTAAGTGAAGATGACAGGGCTTAGATTTCTGGTATCCAGGAACTGATAATTGAATATTGTCTGTATGATTGAAAAAGCAGATGGTGGCGGGGTGCTTCTGAAATAGGCTAAGAAAGAAACCTGCAGGGCTGAAGTTAAAGGATGTCAGCAGGAGGTGAGGGAAATATAGCAGCAATTGCCAGGCACAATGTGACGCTAGTTAGAAATTGTTATTTTTGTCTGGTGCTTGCTAAACAGATCGAGTCCCCATCAATTACCATGCCAGCTAAAAGGCGAGGTTCTTCATTGAAACCTCCTGTCCTAGTATTATCTAATTCATTAAACATAATGTCAAAGTCCGGTGGCATTTCCAAAACATTGATCTCTCTCACTCTGGGCCATCAGCCAGAAGAATCATTTCGTTTATCCCTGGACAACTCAAATGTTTATGCATTTTTAAAATCAAAAGAGAAGATACCAAAGCACTCACAAGGAGAAGAAAAGGCCAAATGATCATTATAATAATCCCATGTGAAGCCTGAGTAATAATGACCTGCCCATACATCGTAAATGTAATTACTCCATAGCTGAACATGTATATTGAAGATCGGTGCAACAAAACAGATTCCCTTCATACATCTCTAGCGAAGAAACCACATTAAACTAGGGGGAAGAATCTAGGAGAAGAAGGGCGAGTCCCATCTCCATAGATCAGTGATGGCGAACCTTTTAGAGACCGAGTGCCCAAACTGCAACCCAAAACCCACTTATGCATTGTCGGGTGCCGGGTGGGCGTGGCCCATTGGGTGGGCATGGCCCATTGGGTGGGCGTGGCTGCGGTGGTAACGGCAGACTGGATGGGACTAAAAAGTTCAATCAATCAATTCCAACTTTGCAAGATCTTTTTTTTTCCCCGAGAAGTTGAAATTGACTGATTGATTGAACCTTTTTTTTTGTACATGGCGGCAGAGGCCTAAAGCGAAAAGGTTTTATAAAACCCAGCTGAAGGCCTAGGACTGGGGCGACGATGCGGGTGCCCACAAAGAGGGCTCTGAGTGCCGCCTCTGGCACCCGTGCCATAGGTTCGCCACCACTGCCATAGATCATTCCAGCTCTCTCCATAAAGCAGAGGTCCCCAACCTTTTGGGCATCAGAGACCGGTTCTGTGGAGAGAGGTTTTTCCGTGGACCTGAGGGTGCATGGTTTTGTGTGCTGCCTACATCTTGTGGATGGGGCTTTGCTTTGTTTATGCAGACCAGTTCCTGGCATGCCGCGGCCCAATACCGGTCCACAGACCAGGGGGGGTTGGGGACCCCTGCCATAAAGCACAAAAGGCTTTTTTTGTTGTTAAGGTCCTTAGTCCTCCTCCAAATGAACTCCAGAATTACAGTCCTGGTTTTTTTTTTTCATATCTGGAATTCAATTAAACCAAACAATGCTGCTTTGGTAATATTGCACTGTAAACATGCATTACTGCTCAGACTCAGCTTTGTTATTCCTCCTTCCCCTTGCGGTTTCTACTTCCTCTTTGGTCCCGGTTACTTCCTCAACTTTCTGTTGCTGAGTAGCGTGCCAGGGACCACACTTTACAAAATACATAAGGAGCCAGAACAATAGGCCAAATCAGGACAAAAATTAACTGGCAGAAAATTTAAAAGAATAATCATGTTACTCCCAATATAATTCTAATATTGTTCTCTTGAAATGGCATTACGCATTTACAAATCAATACATTATAGTCAAGGCCATGGTTTTCCCAGTTGCAATGTATGGCTGTGAAAGTTGGACCATAAGAAAGGCTGAGCGCCAAAGAATTGAGGCCTTTGAACTATGGTGCTGGAGAAGACTCCTGCGAGTCCCCTGGACTGCAAGGCAATCAAACCGGTCAGTCCTAGAGGAGATCAACCCCGACTGCTCTCTAGAAGGCCAGATCCTGAAGTTGAAACTCAAGTACTTTGGCTACCTAATGAGAAGGAAGGACTCACTGGAGAAGAGCCTAATGCTGGGAAAGATGGAGGGCAATAGAAGAAGGGGACGACAGAGAATGAGGTGGCTGGATGGAGCCACTGAAGCAGTAGGCGTGAGCTTAAATGGACTCCAGAAGATGGTAGAGGACAGGAAGGCCTGGAGGAACGTTGTCCATGGGGTCGCGATGGGTCGGACACGACTTCACAACTAACAACAACAAATCAATACATCTTCTAGAATGGCTTTACGGCAGGCAGCCTGAGGGCCTCAACTGATACATGACTGTTCCAGGGACGAAAACTAGTTTTGGGGCTGGAAAACGAGCCTGATGTTGTCAAAATAAATATGAAAAACCCGTCGTCGAACTATTTCTCATTCAATATCTGCCAGTGATGTCATAGCTAGAAGAGAGGCCACTGAGGTGATGTCCTGGGAAAAAAGCCAAGCTCTCCTGCATATTGAATGCTGCAAGAAGCAGAATGAAATTACATCCAAAGGCAACAATACAACAAAAAAGCCAAACCATTTGCTAAACCTTGTTTGGTACGGAACAATTATTCCTCTGAATCACAAAGCCGTTCTGAAAAGACAAAAATTGGGAAAGAAAAAGGCTATATCTGTTGCAATCAGCTGAAGTTCCCTTTATGTTTCAAAAAACGGTTTGCTGCCTCCCTCCTGGGTTGAAATTCCAGTTTCCAGTTCAGATTCCTGAACAAGGGTTACCCAATTATCTTACTAATGAATTGCTTTTGAAATTGTCCTGAGATACAGGTAGAGCTAACAGAACTGGGCGGCCAAAATCTGCACGTCGGCTAACTGATAGCAAAGAAATGCAGAAAAGCAGTGTTTACTATTGAGCAGTTTCCTGGATTTCTGCAGTTCAGATCTGCTAGCCTTAGGTTCTGGGAGCAACTTTTAGTAGAGAAGAACCTTCAGCATCCTCCAAGACCTTAGGGTATACCTGGATGACCTCTTTGGACCTAAGCCACCTTCTTTTTGGACGGCGCATTCATAACCAAGGAATGACGTGCGTACCTGAATGCTGATACTCTGTGATTCGATAAAAGGCAGAGTGATGTTCTTATAATCCTCCCCCGTCTCCTGGATGAGATACACTGACCGAGACAAGTATTTCTGAAGATGTTTTTCAGTTGCTGGGTACACCACCGTCGTTTTTATCTCTGGAATTGTAAGCAGAACATTCTTATTAGAGAAAATGGGAGTCTAAACCGATCTTTTCTTGGTCTTTTGAGGATTTCCAGGAAAGGCTCAAGGGGTTATTCACGGAAGGGCCATTTGCACATTTTAAATGAATGCCATCTAAACCTTCTTCTCATCACAAAGCACTCAACAAGTTATTACGCAGATGACACAACGAGCAATAAAAAGCCAAAAAACAAAAAAAAACAACCACAATATTTCTCCCCACTATACAAACAAACAAAAAAAATCTTTTGGATGGAGTAACAGGAAAGGTTGTCCTCGACCAGGGGGTAGGCAACCTTGGCTCTTTTATGACTCGTGGACTTCAACTCCCAGAATTCCTGAGCCAGCCACGCTGAGGGGAAAGGGAGAGGTTTCCAAGCTGAGCCATGCTGGCTCAGGAATTCTGGGAGTTGAAGTCCACGAGTCATAAAAGAGCCAAGGTTGCCTACCCCTGTTCTTGACCTACAGCCACAATTGAGCCCAAAATTTCCGTGGCTAAGCCAGAGTTATTAAGTGAGTTATGTTCCATTTTACAACCTTTTCTGCCACAGTTGTTAAGTGGATCACTGCAGTTCCGTGAATCATGCGGTTGTTAAGCGAAACCGGCCTCCCCCTTGGCTTTGCTTGTTGGAAGCCAGCTGGGAAGACCACATGACCCCAAGATACTGCAACCGTCATGATAAACACATGCCAGTGGCCAAACGCCCCAATTCTGATCACGTGACCAGGGGGATGCTGCTACAGTCATAAGTGTGAAAAACGGTAAGTTGGTTTTTTTTCAATGCAGTTGTAACTTTGAACGGTCATTAAACGAACGATAAGTAAGGTTCTACTTTTAGGCAAAAAAACCCAAATGCACAGGTATAGAATAGAGGGTACCTTGCTCAATAGTAGTGACTGTGAGAGGGATCTTGGAGTCCTAGTGGACAATCACTTAAATATGAGCCAGCAGTGTGCTGCAGCTGCCAAAAAAGCCAACACAGTGCTGGGCTGCATTAACAGAGGGATAGAATCAAGATCACGTGAAGTGTTAATGCCACTTTACAATGCCTTGGTAAGGCCACACTTGGAATACGGCATCCAGTTTTGGTCACCACGATGTAAAAAAGAAGTTGAGACTCTAGAAAGAGTACAGAGAAGAGCAACAAAGATGATTAGGGGACTGGAGGCTAAAACATATAAGGAACAGTTGCTGGAATTGGGTATGTCTAATTTAATGAAAAGAAGGACTAGGGGTGACATGATAGCAGTGTTCCAGTATCTCAGGGGTTGCCACAAAGAAGAGGGAGTCAAGCTATTCTCCAAAGCGCCTGAAGGCAGGAGAAGAAGCAACAGATGGAAACTAACCAAGGAGAGAAGCGACCTAGAACTAAGGAGAAACTTCCTGACAGTTAGAACAATTAACCAGTGGAACAACCTGCCTCCAGAAGTGATGAATGCTCCAACACTGTAAGTTTTTAAGAAGAGACTGGACAGCCATTTGTCTGAAATGGTGTAGGGTTCCTGCCTGACCAGGGGGTTGGACTAGATGACCTCCAAGGTGCCTTCCAACTTTTATTATTATTATTATTATTATTATTATTATTGTTGTTGTTGTTGTTGTTGTTGTTAGTCAAGGACTACCTATATTCTTTAGTCTTTGGTCAGCAGCACAGCAGAGAAGTGATAGAAAGTCCAAGGCATTTAGCGATGGCGAAGGGGGGGTTGTCCTTCTTTGTGTGCATACACAAATACATATATATATATATATTAAACTGTAATTAGGAAAGCACAAATACCGGCACTGAAGTCAGCAGTGGGAGCGATGGGGGCTGTAATGGGTCTGGTGAGTAAGCAGGTGGGAAAGTCAGCAACTGACTTGTAAAAACACTTTATCCAAAAGAAAGTTTTCTCCCTCCCCGAGGCCAAAGAATACTAGCCATTCAAAACAAACGTTTGCAAACGGTCCTAAGAAAAAAACATGGGTGGGAAGGGAACCACCCCATTACCACATTTAACCGTTTATTTTTTCAGGGGCAATTAACAAAGCAGAACAAGATCTAGAATTACCAAAAGGCCTTCCAAGAACCCAGCTCTCAAGAAGTACGAGCCAGGGTTTTTAATAAAATAAAATAAAATAAAATCTTTCCAGAGGATGCCAAATAGAATCCCTGATGGCCCCGGAGATCGATATAGGCAGCAGGTGTCCAGGCTGGGTTTACAAAACCTTCGTCTTTTCGTTTTCTTTCTCCTGGA